GTTTATCAAAAATAAATAAATAAAAAGCATGATAAGAAGATAACAACTCAACTCATCTGTAGATAAGTGAAGATACATCAACACAGATTTTTACAGCCACACAGCAGCAAAACAAACAAGGAAAATCACATCACACGTCACATCCAAGACTTACGTCAGAATCTCAATCTTCTTCTCTGCTTCTAAATTGCCTTTGTTGTAAGCCTGCAGCCTGTCCATGTCTGCCCTCTGACAACAGAGAGACTAACTGTTACAATATGTGACACACACCAGGATAATGTTGACCAACCTGTCAGCAGTCACAGAAACAAACTTGTTGAAAAAAATCCTTATCAAGTCACCAGCTGGCCAACAGTGTTCTTTATAAAAATCTAACAAGATTTAAGCAAGACGTTAAGCACGAATGTGTAATCAAGCGATTTCTCTACATTATAGTCTGAACTGTGTCCACATCATTTTCATAAATCACATTAAAACAGTTTACCAAGATTTTTCTATTTAATGTAGCTCTATCATATATTTAGAACTTTGATTATATCTTGGGATGTCACCAACTGTTGATCAATGCGATAGTGTGAGACCTTTGGTGAGACTGTGTATCACTTCACCCGTGTGTGCATGTGTGGCATCGTGCACATGCACAAGATAAATAAAACAGGGACCCACCAATACAAAACAGGGAACCTTTAAACCGTTTACCCTCGAGAGACTATACCATTTCAGAGGTAAGCTAAAAGCTAGCCTTCATTACATACAAATTTGGCCTGCTTCTCCAAGATCATGTCCATCCTCTGCTTCCTGAAGTGAAGAAAGTTCATGATTGCACTAAGAACAGTCAGAGTCCTCTGTTTTTCTGGAAAGAAACAGCAAGACCATTATCAAAGAACTGGTTACAAGTGGTTGTGGAGATCTTTGGAAAGATGAAATAAGAAACATTTACTTACTCGGGGCTAGAAGGTCATTCAATGAGAAGTCATACACCAAGCACATAGGCAGAAACTGCCGCCTACAAAGATGAGGAAGAATGTTGGGAAATAAATAATATCAACTGTAAATGGAAAAATATAGACATGTATATATCTTGCTTAAGATCACATTGAAGTCCAGCTCCAGAGCTTTTGAATACTCAACTGAAAACAACAAAACAAATGATTTTCAGATAAGTGTCCATGAGCAAGTCACAGAATCCCTAATAACAATGAATGGTGCTTTATAGCTCCGTTCCCAGAATTTAGGGCTCCTGTCTGTCCCCAGAGTTAAAAAGACATCTGCTGACTGCAGAGCCTTTTCCTATCGGGCCCCTCTGCTCTGGAAGCACCTCCCTGCTGACATCAGACTGTCTGACTCCGTTCAGACTTTCAAATCTAAACTTAAAACCTATTTTTATGCCTTAACTTTCAGTTAGCCTCTTGTTCTTTTACAAACTCAGTCTCAATAAATTAGTAAACTCAGAGCAGTATAGTCCAGGTTGTCATGCCGACGAAATCACTGTAAACTTCCTGAATATCACTGCATCATTCTAACTGTTTGTTTTTTCCCTCAAGCACATGAAGCGCCCAGGCTGTGTGCCTCTCTCTCTCCCTTCTCCTTCTCTATCTCCTTCCTGTTACTCTCTGCAGGTCCTCCCTCCTCCAGAGCTGCAGAGTCTGGATCTGCAACTGCAAACCAGCTACTGCCCCATGATCCTGTTTAACACCTGCTGCTAAACCTGCTAGAATTTTATATAATTAGTAATGATTATTATTAATGTTATTAGCTGTCATTACTACTTTTATTAGTAGGAGCACTACAGTTGCCATTACATTACTATTGCTGTTACTGCCGCTACTATCATTATTATTAATATTGCTATCATTGCATGTTCTTGTTTTCCTCTGCTTTCTCTCTCTCTCTCTCCTGCTTGCACGCTCTCTCTCTCTCTCTCTCTCTCTCTCTCCAACCCAACCAGTTGAGGCAGATGGCCGCCCACCCTGACTCCGGTTCTGCTCGAGGTTTCTGCCTCTTAAAAGGAAGTCTTTCCTTGCCACTGTTGCCTAGCGCTTGCTCTTGGTGGGAATTATTGGGTCTCTGTACATAATATCATAAAGAGAAGGTGTAGACCTGCTCTATTTGGAAAGTGCCTTGTGATAACTTATGTTGTGAATTGGCTCTATACAAATAAAAATTGACTTGACTTGACAGCTGATCTCTGACCTGTCTGTGGAAGAAGACAACTGAACTGTGTGTTCAAATCATTTGTCTGAACATATGGTGCAGACCCCTCTGTACATAAACTCATTACCGGCTGGAGCACAATGTGATCCTGTATATCCAGGGTTAAAACTCACATGCGCATGTAGACGCTCATGATAGCAGTCGCCCCCTCATGATACACTGGATACTGAATGTTCTCCAGAAGTGGAACCTGTTTGAAAACAAAAAGCAAATCAAGCTCTCAACTAAAAGCAAGGACAACATGTATGAGGTGATAACTCTGATGGTGATGACATTGACCACTACATGTGACATTTAAAATACCAGACAAGCAGGAATACACGAGACTGTTTAGCATAAACTTGAATTGAACCATTGTTTAGTGTAGTGGTAGAAAGGTCTGGATGTAAACAGGTAAAGTCAGTACTCACCATAGAGTGACACTCAGGTCTGAAACGATACAGGAGATGCAACACTCTCATGTACAGCGTTTGAACTGCCTCTGGCTGTAAGAGAGAGTAATCAAGGGTTAAGTTAATGGTCTATAGTTTATATGAGCAGAGAAGACTGATGGCTGTGAAACAAAGCATCTCCAATAAAGGCTGTTATCTCATCTAGTCCAGTTCTTTGTCCCACTGAATCTAGCTACAGCTGGTTCCCACCCAGTCTCCAAGGTGTGTAAACTGGAACATAATTAAAGGATCTAATGGCTTTCAAGCATCACAGTATTATTACTGTAATTTCAATGAGAGTGTTTACATGTGCATTTGTATCCTGATTTTGAGCCTTATCTTGTTTTTGATTATATTCGGGGTTTGGTGTTTACATTGAACATGAGAGACCTGGTTATTCATATTCCTGTATGCATGATCATAACAGTATCCAGGTTTCTGATTGTCTGCCTGCAGCGGTGTCTTGATTTCTCACATCACCATGACATGGTTCAGAAACCTGGATAAGGTATTACCATGCCACAGTATCCTGGTTTCTCCTCTAGGTAGTATAATCAGATTTCACAAAATGGGGATATGGTCCAGGTTTCTGTAACAGGCATGAGCTGTTTACATACACAAAACAGAAGCAGGATATTCCAACAACCCAATCATAATCAGGATCCTAGTGTTTATGTAAACACACTCAATTATTAGTGACGGAAATAGGAAGTTTGTGTCTTGAATAAAAACTGTGGTGAACTAATGCAGTGACAAACAGGCACAATCATCATTTTTCATTGTAAAAACTGAACGAAAGCAGTTGTAACGTAATTTAATAGACTTGGGGAAAAAATGTAAATATTTCCGTCAACGGGCGCTATTCACTCCTACATGTATTATGTTACATGTCTTTGACTTTGTTAAGGAACAAAACAATGCAAATTTATCAACATTTTGAATGGGGTTTGACATAGATGATGTCTCTTCATTATGGATCATGTCTGGAAGCAGCAGCCAACGGACGTTACCTTCGGGGCAGGAGTCAGGTCGCTCTTGGTGAAGTGTTTCGCTTCTTGGCCGATAAGAACTTCTGTCCGGTAAAAGTTCACTATCGCGTCCGCTGTATAAACAGGGAAGGTGTTTTCACTCATTGTCGCAACGTTCGTGCCGACTGAAAACAGACAAAACACCCAAAAAAGGATTTCGGCGTCAACGACTAGACAAAATTGGCGCCTTAAAAATACTTCCTTGTTGTCAGTGTTGACAGCGCGTCTGATTGGTCAGTTTGTCCTTCTTCTGTTGTCAGTGAAATGATACATTGCTCACCAGCGCCCTCTGTGCCCCCTATGAGAACTAATACACTACCCAAATACTACCAAAAAAATAATATAATCAGAATTATAAAGGTTTATCAGTTAGTTCCATCAAATATTTGAGTTAATTAAATATGTTTTATTAGTTATCATATATTTGGGGGGCAACTACCTTATTTTGCCTTTTGTTTTGAATGTCCAATTTTTTATGTATTCTAGCTGCTGTACTCGTTGTTTTAGCATGGTGAGTTACACTCAGTTCTACAGTCCTGCTGAATCAGATTTGAAGGAAAAATATGATGAAAGAATGCTACAGAGGGGATGAAAACCATATCCCAGGTCCAGAATCCTTGACAAATTCATTCTGCCAATGTACACACTCAATTACCTTTTGGGCTGGATTGATTCATTTTATAATTTGTAAAAGTAAAAATAATCTCATATATGCGATAATAATAATGAATATAAAAATATCATTACATAGGATATTATGAACATACTAATTATGAAATTGAATTCATTGTTAATTTGATGATCCTTTATGGTAAATTTCATATACATGTAGAATCACCAACAAAAATCACCCCTGATTTTATTGGATTTTTAATGGAATTTAGAGAATATATTTAGACCCTTGACCTTATAAATACTAAAAAAAGTAATAAGACTGCACTCTTTAAAGAGGAATAATATGGTATCTATCTATCTATCTATCTATCTATCTATCTATCTATCTATCACTTCTATCAATCTATCTATCATAGTTTTATTGTATTGTAGTTGGATTTTTGCCTTTTATATAATTTTTTCATTATATCCTCTTATTTCCATTATATTTATTCCTATAATTTTTTACTACTTGTATTTCTTTTACTATCATTACTATTGTAGCGCATGTTTATATTGTATGTAAATTTGTATTTGTTTGGGAATGTTTTCCAATAAAGGTTGGAAAGAAAAAAAACTATATCCCTGGTGTACCCGCCGGAGTAGCAGGGGGCGCTAATGTAACACTGCCAGCACTAAATATGCACGTGACACAACACGGAACTCACTTGCCTGTATACATGGATGGATGTCTGCGACAAGAGCTGTGTGCCACTTTCAAGTAAAACATTACTGTATGCAATGATTTCGGGGTGAGCCAATGAGCCATTAATCTGCATTTTGGGATTTGAGCAATAATGGCGGTGAACTGGGCCGACAGGATCTCCGCTTTCTCCGTCAGCCCGTCTCGCTTCCTCTCCGGGACAACCGCCGAGGCTTTCCTGGCAGAGCTGCTCCGTGAGCTGCGAGATGACAGAGCCAGTTACAGTGTCAAGGTAAAAATAAATAAGTGAAGAAAGAAATGCTGTAGGATTTTTTTTGCACTTGTCATGAGTGTACAAATGCACAACCCTTCTCTATATGGATAATTGGTTGTTTACCCAGTCTTCCGTGTTAGTAAACGGAATCTCATTGGGTTTTGGACTGTTGAACAGATCACCTTGGGCTCTGGGAAACTCAAAGGAGCATCTTCTCTGTAGTCTGACAATATTTTCTAAAATTATTACTATAAATTGAATAATTGTAACACAAACAAACATATATGTGTGTACAGGCTTACCCAAATCACTCAACAAAGAGGCTGTATTCATCATTGCTTTTCATTTTCTAGTTGTGTGTTAAAGTAATCCTGACTGGTGTTTCAGGTCTCTAGTGTTGTGAACACCGATGGGTCTTTAATTCTTATCTTTTACCTCCACCTCAGGTCCTCCTGTTGTCCCCACTATGCGAGTACTCGACTCTGCTGTGTCCCTCAGACTCTGTGGGTGAGGAGACAGCCCTGGAGCTCATGTCAGTATTTGCCCAGTGTCCTCCCAAATCCGCACAGTTTCGTTGTCACCTCCTCCTGGCCCTCTCCTCCGTGCTCGTCTGCACTTCCTGTGTGAGCAGCCGTTCCCGTGCATCTCAAGATTTCCTGGACCTGCTCCTTCAGATATCCCAGGACACTGGTGACCTCCATGGTGATGGCGCTCTTCATTCTCTCCGGGTCACAGCTTGTGACTGTTTGCGTGAGCTGGAAGCCTGCTCTCCTGGTCTTCTCTCCCAGCATGTCGAGCTCTTGAGTGGGCTCAGGCAGAGAGAAACCTTCAGGTTACACCAGGCCTTTGCGGGACTTCATACTCTGGTGTTGAGAAATGCTGTGTATCAGCTCACCCAGGAGAAAGGAGCCGGTGCTGAGCAACTTAAAGCTCTTCTAGGAGGGAATACATCAGTTGCATGGGAAGCAGCCCAGGACTCAGGCCTGATGAATAACAAAGACTCAGCCATCCTGTCTTCTCTCATCCTGGGGCCCATGGGTTCAGTGCCCACCCTCCACACTGGGCCTGATTGTAAGGAGTTGCGTTCAGTCCTGTCCTCCCTCCTCGAGGAGTCCTACCTCCTCACTCCTTTCTGTCAGGCTGCACTGCTACACAGACTGACAGAGGTGGTTGCCATGGTGCCTGGTGTCCCTCCAGCCATATTTAGAGCTCAGCTGCTGCGACTGCTCGGCACGAGCAAGGTTTGTGTCAAATGTATAATTCACAATACATTTCTCATAGGGACTATTTCTATCTATCACTATAACTTCACTGTGTAAAACTGTCCTTAATCTGTTCCGTGGATTATCCTGAGACAAAACACACATTGCCGTGAGCACCAGAGTTTCATATTTCAAAAACACCAGCACTTAAAACTGAACTCTCTGCAGAGTCAGATCCCTCCACTGATAACATTTCTCTTTGTATTTGGGCAAACTGCCCTTTTGAGTAAATTTTTCTTTGTTGAGATAATATGTTTATAAGCCTGGGCATCTCTGTAGCACCACAACTAATGGTGCTAACAATGTACAACAATGTGACACATTTTACCTTAATCAAAAAAATTACAGCTCCTGTGATTTGGATATTGCACTTGGCCATGTTACGATTCTATTATAGTTGCATGCAGCTGGGCAGATTTCTTAAGTAAATATTGCCTTATGTAGCACATGTGGTGCAACACCACAGCAAACACTCTTTGAGCAGCTACTCTGCCAGAAATAGAAGAGCAACTGGTGAATCTGTTTGTAAAGCAGCGTCAATAATTGGCCCTTGTCTATCATGTCGTGAACAACTATGATCTGATGAAGTGGTTTTACACCGATTATTTACACAATGTAAATGTATGAAAAATGAAAACTGGTTTTAACGTCTACATTTAGACAGTGGTGTGCAATGACAGCTACGGATTCATTCATAAATCTTTGTCCGTATCTTTTCAGGTCTGTCTCCTCCACGCCACTCTGCTGATGAAGTGTGCGTTCACAGACAGCCTGTTCAGCGCAGAGGATGAAGCTTTCATCCTCAAACGACTGGTCGTGCTCTCCCAGCATCCCCTGCTGAGTACGCCCGAGAAGCTTTTCTACATGGACTGTATCCTGCACTTCCCTGAGAACCGTCCCATCAACTGCGGCGACGGTGACGAGTCGCTCCCTGTGCTGATGACTCCCCGGCTGGCCTCGGCTCTAGTGCCCACCGTGTTCAACGACAGCGCCACCATGCTGGCCCGGCTCAACCTGCTGTGTCTGGTCTACCTGGAGGAGGGAGAGGAAGTGGAGGGGGAAGAAGGGGAGGAGGGCAGGGGGTTGGCCTACCTTTACGAACACCTCAGCTCGCTGCTGCACATTGTGAAGAACGGAGGCAACAGAGAGATCATTGTGACCTTCTTCAGGGCCGCCTTCCTCTTCCTCTCGTACTTCTACCACATGGAGCGCTACTCTAACAGCCTGACTGAGAAGCTGTGTGAGCTCTACCTCCACCACACCCACCTAGCCCCACACCTCATCAGCCTGGCCGACCAGACTCAGGACCGGCTCTCTGAGTCTAACTGGGCCGTGGAGCTCCTCAGAGAGCTGCAGAGAGTCATCACTAGTGCACCGCTTACCCAGCTCACCTTGCAAGACCTCGGCTGGCACCTCAAGATGCTGGCACGCGTGGCAGAGGAAGGAAAAATCCCCCAGCGCACCACCCTCAGCTTTCTGTCCGGCGTCATCACTCCATCGTCCTCCTCGCTGTGCGTGAGCGGCGACTGGCGCTTGGGGAACAGCATTCTGGGAGTTTGCCGCCGCCTGCTCGTCCACCCCAGTCTGGACTCGCTGCTTATCCCTCTGGCTGACGTCCTGCAGCATCTTGCCTGCCGCTACGGAGACACAGACATCCAGGACCATGCCCGTCTTTACTACACCCTCCTCACCACGCTGTCCCGGGAGAAGCTGGCAGGGGTGTTGGCGCAGGGTGCGATCGAGGGGGGGCGTCAGGTCAAGAAGCGATCGCTGTCGAGCCTCATGGCCGAGAGCGAGGGGCTGACGGGCGTGCTTACCATTCACCAGATGGAGAAAGCCATATTCAGTGTGGTTGAGGTGAATTCAGAGCCACAGACAGATAAAGAAAGTGTCCCAAACCAGAATGAGACACAGAAATGTCCAGATGATGTGAACACAACACTGGAAGTCTACCGGAGTCAGTTCAACAACCCTGCCTTCGCCTCAGAAATCACCTTAAGCTACCAGCTGGTTCACACTGAGGCTCACGACTCGCGCTTCGATCAGCTGTTCAGCATCCGCCTGCACTTCAGCCTCACAGATGACCACTACGAAGAGCTGAGCGACATCAGTGTCCCCTGTCTCTTCAGAGAGCGACCGTCGCCGGTGGTGAAGCTGAGACTGAAGCCGAGGCGGCCACACCCCACCACCCTCCACGCCAGCGCCCTCTTGACCACCCAGGATGGGCTCTCCTGGCACGCCATCCTCCCGGACATCCACGTGGCCTTCCAGCAGGCCTTCATGCCTCTGCCTGCTCCGCCGGCCTGGGGACGAGGCGGCAAACTAAACCTGTTTGAGGGATTATGGGATGAATTCTGCTCAGAGAATGAGGACTGCGCTACCAGCCTGTTCTGCTGCCAGCTGAAGGAGGCGGCTCTGATTTCTTTGGTGGAGAAACACTTCCTCCCCTACCTCATCTCAGACTTGTCCCATAAAGAAGAGTTTAAAGTGCTTCTCTTCCTCCCTCCACAGTCTCACATGCTGCTGAAAATCAGGTCTGAGGAAGACGCCGTGCACTTCGACATCGCCACAGACAACTGGCAGCTTTTGCCTCACCTGAGTTCTTATCTACTGACACTTACATCTTCACAGGAAGACACTCACAGCTGACTGTGATGCATCTCACTGGCTTGTTTTTAAATTTAAAAAAAAATAGCTGACTTTTAACAAAATCACTTAACCTGTCAGCACTTTAATACATTCAATTGTACTTAAAATTAAATAACCAAAGACAGTTGATTTAAAATAAAGTTATTGCACTTTAATTTTCTTAACCTGGAATTAAACAAATGTGTGAAATTAAAATTAAATATTTTGTAATTTATTTACCAAAATCTCATTAGTTACAATCTGCAAATAAAAGACAAAATAAATAATTTACTCTGGGTTGCACAGGATCTCCCTGACATACGACTCAACAGAAGTATCTGCACCTTATGAGTAAGGCTCTAAAAAAAAAATCTAATTTATAATCCACATTAAAGGTGTCGTGTGGAATATTTGAACTAGTCAAATGTGTCTTCACAAGTAGGTCCCTGTTTTTTTTATTATTAATTAATTAATTTTAAATCATACACATGGTTCATATTCTGCTGAAGTTATTCCACTGATCAACAGCCACTGGTGGATACACACCAACAAACAAGAACACATGACGATATCTGCTAAAAATAATCATGGATGTAGGGATGGATGGTGATCTGGCAAAAAAGATCATAACACCATCTGCATCCTGTTCCGCTCTAATTTTATTGTGAAAATCATGACTGAAAGTTGTATCTGTTTGCTGCGTCTTTCGGATGTCAGGTCTGTGGACGGACTGTAAAAACTCCACTGTCTTGGACTGCAGCTGGTGACAGTGGTTCTGCTCAGGGGGAGAACTGGTTCATGAGCTGCTACACCAAGCTAGGCTGCAGAGCAGAACAAGGACTGCTGTCTCCCGGTGCGGTTAGCGGGCTAGCTGTTTAACAGTTAAGAACGAGCTGGTTAGCAGCAGTTGAAAATTTAATATCTAAATATAGCAGCTCTTAATGACGAGATCTGTACAATTCATCTGAAAATCAGATCATATGCTAAAGTAAGATCGTCCACCCCTACATGGATGTAAATGATGCAGAATTTAAAGGTCTAAAAAGAGGAAGGAAACGCGCTAAATTTATATTAACATATTCATGTGTACATTTAATTCATTTTGTTCCCAAGGATACACGCACTTCGTTCTGGTGAGAACTGAAACATGACTTTGTTTACAATAAAAACTCCACAGGGCAGCTTTAACTCTCATCATATGTTGGTGACAACCGACTGAATCTCAAGTGAAAGAGTTTCAAAAACTGATATTAAGCAAAGTATCTGAGCTTTTATTTGGTAAAAGTGCCCATGCACAGGTAAACTGGAGCAGCCTACTTTATGTTTAGAAAAGTATCCTTAAGGTTGCAAGTATACAAACAAAAACTTGTAATGCATTAAACTCTTAAGGCAGTATATGAAAGTCAATGAAGCATTGTGACATTGTGATATCAGTGATTCCAATCCATGTCTGGATTCATCTCAGTTCAAACTGATGTCCATTAAGAATATAGTTAATCTCCACCATGAGTCTTTTATAAAATCCCAGTCCTTTAATCAGAGAGGCCCTTGAAGTTTGGTTCTGTGTAAGGTGGTAAGGCCGCCTGCTTGCTGAGAAGTTTGTCCATGATGGCGATCTCTGCGTCCCTCTTCTCCACCTCGTCTATGGGGGTCCACGACATGTCATGTTGGAGTTTGAATGCACCGACAAATGTGTGAGGGCAGCTTGGGCCCCATTCCTTCAGAGGACAGGGCAAAGAAGGTTATGTCATCATGAGGTTTGTGGCATTCAGTACAGACTAACAAATATTTTTTCTTAAATACATAAGTTTACAATCCCAAGTGCTTCCACAAATTCTAAACCAGAATATGTGCAGTGGCCTGTTTCTAACCAACTTTGGCACAAGTTCAGCACAGAAATTTTATTTTATTTTTTTCTGTTTTTCTAATTTTCACCTCATAAAATGATCTAAACGAATGAACATTCTGGGTTTGGCTGTAGAGAAAAACATCTCAAAGCCACCTTCCACTACAGCAACACTCTGAAAAATGAACTATTCTCTGGTATGTTCCTGTATGACAACCCAGTTATTATCTCTATGACACTCCCCATGTCAGTTACAGCTGTCAAAATTCCATGACCTGTGCGTACCTGCAAAACAAACGTAGCTTAACTGTAACCAGCCAAATCCAACTTAAACTGCCTGTGTTTTGGCCACTAGCTCACTATCAGCTCCTCCTTCTCAGTTAGATGAACTTTGAACACCACACTCCTCCAACTCCGAACACTATGAACACATGCTTTCAGGTGTTAGGTATGGCATTCACGTGTACTATCTCCCTGAGGCGATGTTAAGTAACTAGTACTGTGCTGGTGTTTCGTATAGCTTCCTGAGCATATAGGGTGACATAACAATGATCAGTATAATGCCGAACCTTAGGAGAGATGATGGAGAAGTATTTCTGTCCAGATTGCCGCTGGTAGAGGTAGTACATGTTGCCTGGTTTTTTCACTATGTTACAGGCAGCGTGGTGAAGGTCCGCATCTCTTTTAGCCTCTTCTAAAACCTAAAAATAGAGAAGAAAAGTAAGTATTTTGAACTGAAAATTTTTCTTTTTACTACTATTTACTACGGTTACTGCACAGTCATGTCAGGATGAAAAAAACAGTCAGATCTGAACATTACCTAATGAGATTTTGCATTATGATCACATGAGCATGATGACTTTGGGGTCTGGTCCTCTTTAACAGATCAAAAATCCATTATATATGGCTCAAACTTGCCCAGTTTTTGCATCCTGATATGATCAGCTGTAAAAAGCCTACAACTATATTCCATAAACAAGAAGTGACTTCAGTATTTAGGGCGTTCAGTGTGTGAACTGCTGCTCTTACCTTTCTCGCTTGTTCCTGTAGGTATCTGATCTGATCAGCGATGACTGTCAGTTTGTTGGAGGCGTTGGCTTTAATGAAATCATCTCCCTGACAAATGCAGTAAAAATATCAGGACTATTATATTCATCCTCATCACGAGGTGTGTACAGCTCAATAGTTTGTATATAACTAGGCATAAAACCACAGTCCACACCTTCTGTACTTGTACTGCCAGGGCCACCAGGTCCGTGGGGTCTCCCACTCTGTGGGTCTGGTAGGAGCTGACCAGTTCCAGCCCGCTGGGGGCGCTGCTGCTCTCAACCAGAGTCACTGCAAAAACACACAGGCACGGTTACATCACATGCAACTGAACCACCCTACGGAATATAATATAACTCCTGCTCAGATGCCTCTGATGTAACAACTACAACTGCTGCTGCTACTACTCTTATTACTACTATACTATAACAGCAGATTCTACCACCATTACCTATAAACTAATAATTATTCATATATGACATAATAATGTAATGGCTGTAATTACATACTTCTAACCCTCATGTTTAGAATAATATTAACAAAGAACTGTCTCCCTCAGTTTGTACAGTGTTTCAGCAACTACCAACATTAATAAAATCCACATCAATGCACCTCTGGTAAATTCTGTTGATGACTTCGACTGCTCTATATTACTGGACTACAGTGTGCAGTTTTAGTCGTTACACCACAGCTCAAGTTGCCACTGGTTAACTGTACGGTTTAAACATGAGGTTTGCAGCAGGTCCCCCAGTGACTGTAAACGTTACCTGTGGTGGTTTTGTCAGGCTGACTGGGAAGGCTGACCGTCCTGTCCATGCTGTCGTCTCACAGTGTTCACTACTAACTAACTCTTCTCGTGTGTGTTATCAAAGATAACTCTCTCCGTCCACCAGCTGCTTTTGTAACCAGCTAAAATTTGACCAAAAATACCGGAGGCTTGACGGGGTCCTGAATCTCCGCCCATTTTGCCTGAAGTGGTAGCTGTAATTGTGCCTGTATGAAAACGTTGTTAATATTTAAAAAAAAAAAAAAAAAAAAGTTAGAAGTTATATAGAGTTTATCTATGGTTACGAATTTATGTTTTAGACATGTTATTTTACATCCTGACTAATTTTAAAATCAACGTTTCTATGATGTATTCTGTAATCATAACATGGATTTGTTTTCAGGCACACCAACAACAGCCCAACCTCGCCACAGAACATTTAAAAACAAGATGTGTCCCTGTTATAAAAACGATTTTAAGAAACAAACAGAAGTCGGGAAACTGTCACATTAAACAGTAGCTGTACTGTGACATTTTAAATAAGAACAGCTTCAAATCACGCACAAAACCCCTCACTAATAAAATAGTAGACTTAAGAGCCAAACCTATAATTATCTTCTTGTTTTCATTTACTTACCCACTGAACGTGCTTCTCCCATAATCCATTGCGAGCGCACCTACACGTATTTTATTTCTGAAAAAACGCGAGTAGTATAAATCCGTAGACAGCACTCTTCATCCACTATCACCAAGACACCAAATGAGGGAATATGCTTTGGAAAAATGGTGTTGATCCTTAGACTTCCACACTTCCAGGATCTACGGGGAGCACTGAAACTATGATGAAACAACACTTTACTAAGACACGTTATGTTGGGTTTTCCATTAACTTGCAACTCATCTCTGTGATACCCCCAAATATGCAGAGGGATCTTAAAATACATACTCAGATGTCAGTTTAGGGACACCCAGCTAATACCAATGCAGTCTAACACGAGAGCCCTTCAATGAGCCCTACCATCATGACGGTTATGATGTTCAGTTTTTGTTGAAACTGTGTTAAAGATGTGTTTAATTCAACTGTGTGATGGTGAACTGTGTATTGTCAAGAGGAATGGAAAGTGCCACCAACAGTACAGTACAATAGCCTGTGTGACTGGTGCAGAAGATACTAAATTTTAAACAAATAACGAAAAACCTACTGAAAACAGAGGCACCACAATTAAGCAAATGGAAGGACACAATTATTGATATTTATGAAATGGAGATAATAAATCACAGTATTAGAAATCTAGCAAACTCTTTGACATAAGATGGAACAGTATCCATTAAACAAATATTATACAAAAATAATATTGTTAAAAAACAAATAAATACAGAGAGGGGAAAGAAATGGGGTGGGGGATAGGAAGAGGGGAGAAGAGGGTGAGCAGAGGGAGGAGAAAGGAATAAGAACAGCTATACGTTTAAAATTAGTTAAACCTGTCTTATTCGTTAGGCTATTATATTTTTCTCTCCCTTTTATTTTACTTTATTACTTATATTTACTTATTAATTAATTTATTTTCCTAAATGTACGTGTTTAATCTGTTAAAGTATGTGTATGTATGTGCCTGTATGTATGGGTATAAACTAGATATCATGGAGTTGGTAACTCCTTCTGTTGAGAAATAATCACTGTAAGGGAATGCAATTTAACAAATAGAATACAAAAAAAGACTAGGCTCATTTTACACTTTTGTCTGTATGTACCGGAAAGCCACGGAAGTTCCTTATTTCATGCAAGTTCTAACAGGCCAATGCCTCATTACCATGTTAAATACAGTGTTTGTTCTGCTCTCATTCCAGGTTTTGGATATGTGAAGTGAACAAACTGCCACGTCTGAGAATATACATCACACACCAGCTCTGAAAGAAGCAGCTGGTGTCACAGTTTGTCCTGTGGACTAAAATTATTTAGAAAATCAATCAGATATTTAACAGTTTCCCCCCCTAATTTTGTCATAATGAACTTCTGTTGCAAATAAAACTTTCTTTTATCAGGGAATCCATCCGGAAACCAGTAAAACAGTTATTTAATATATTTGATAATAAACTTTTATTGTATTCTACACTAAGGTCAATCGTAGCTTCATTTTCCTCAGTACAGGCCCACAGTAGGAGCGTCTTATATGGCACTATAATGATTTCTCCAAGTGTAGGACTAAAGGGGGGATGACGGGGTGGGTGGTGTTACCGGGGGCTCAACTGTTCAAACCCCACCTCCAGCCAAGTTACTGTCGGAGGAAGAGGAGAGTTTCAACCCCTCTCTCTACCGGTTCCTGTAGTCTCCGGTCCAGGCTCCTGACCCGCTGCAGAGCCCTGACATTTTACCGTCATGGAGCTCCGTTATGCGCTGCTGTTTCTGTGCCTTGTTCTGCCATTGTGCACATCGGACAATAATCTGAGCAGCCACTCGGTTTTGGAGCCGTATGATATCCTCTTCGACACGGCGGTGGAAGCCTACTACAGGGGGGACTGGTTGTCGGTTATCCTGAACATGGAGAGGGCGCTCAGGAACAAAGCTACGGTCCGCAATGTGAAGGCTCAGTGCCGGCTCAGCTGCGCCAACCAGTCCGCTTTCGGTGACCCATTGGCCGGCTTGGGAGTTCCCATACCGGGGGCCGGGTCTGTGGAGGACCTGGGCTTCTTCCAGAAAATCCTGAAACGGGCGGACTGTGTGAACTCCTGCGAGACTCAGAAACTCGGTCCGCCGAATCTGCATCTGGTCAGTGAAGAAATTGAGCTGGAGTTCAAGAAGAGGACCCCATATAACTACTTACAAGTCGCCTACTTCAAGGTATATAACTGAGTGCAGTAGGCGGTGAGCTATAAGTGTAAAAGGGTTCTGTAGAGTGATATAAATGTTTTGTCCCAGTGTAGCTGCAGAGTGAAAAACTTAAATACATTTTAGTTACGATCTCATTCAATCTTTAAGTCAGAGCTGATGTGGAGCTGGAGACTGTAAATACCCCAACCCCCTAAAACCAAGACAGCCATGCCACGTCTTAAGGTGGAGTCAGCGTCTGTCTGTGCAGTCTGACGCGAGGATGTAGACTTTGGGTTTAAAGGCCCAAACCGCTGCTCTCTGAACGTATGCATATAAAAAACAAAGTAAAGCTTTGCTGGCACGCTTGAGTGACTTTTAATACGATGGAAAGTTGTTTGCAAACTGTTATAATCTCAAACTTCCAATTCTCTTTGTATTTTTCATTCACAGTTTTCTTGGATTGTTATGTTTGTATTGGAAAGTCCGACTCTCCTGCAGAAACCTGAAAGCAGCAACATAATGAAAAAAGCTGGTGCAGAGTTTTATACTAAAATCTGTGCATATGTAAGAAATAATGTCAAATATAGCCTCTATGTATTTCCTTAATAATTCCTGTCATTATTGTTCCTTCATGCTCAGTGAACAAAAAAAACAGGAAAACAGATATTCAGTCATCAAACATTAGTATGGTTACTATATTTCTGACTTTCCAAACTTTGGCCATAGCAGCTGCCTCTGTGGATCAAGCCTACTGGATCAGTGGTTCTCAAAGTGGGGATCACACACCCCCAGGGTTCCTTGAGGGGATTCCTTGGACTTCCCAGCAAAAATGGGAATAATTTAACTTTGGTCAATGGTTTCAAACAACCTCTGTAATAAAACATCTAAAAGCAAATATCAGATCAGATGGGGGTCTGTGGTCTAATTTGTGTCAGTTTAGAGGTCCTCGTGTGAAAGAGGTTCTGGATAACGCCTCTAAGCCAGTTTAGTGGTCTCTTGGATGAAAGGGTAGGCTACTTCATTCTGGGGTTTTATTGGAGCTTAGAGAGGCAGGTGAGGATTGTAATTGAACTATAAATAAATAACTGAACTAATGAAAGGTTGGTCAGTTTTTTCCATTTAGTACTACTGAGAAATAGATCCAGGGTGATGTGAGCCTGTCTATTATGTTTATTAAAGCTGCACTAGTCAGTATTTCATATGAATTATCATCAACTCTGAAACTGCCCCCATTTCTCTTAGATGGAAAAAAATGCACAATCTTTCTTTTTTCATTGTTTTGGTTTTACAGCTCCCAACTTTCCTGTCTTGGTTCTCTCTAGCTGCTCTCGTAACCTCGTTTCCAGCAGCAGCAGCAGCAGCAGCAGGCGGCTGTTTTTACCATAAAGCTGCGATAAACCCACTGTGTTGTAGCTACACAGCACAAAATGGCAGCTAGGAAGCTACTAGCAACAATTTTAGCTAGCTGGCGAACACAGCGGAGGATTTCATCAGCTAAAGAGCCAGATATTTCTCCTAGGAGTTTGTGGAGACCAAAACAGAGGTGAAATAATATGAATATTATATTCGCCAGATCTGGTGGATGTTGCTCCAGGACTGCTCGATGTTTAAATATCTGTAAGCTAACATGTGAGCAATTACAACTTTGTGCTGTTGTTGTGTTTATGGCCTGATCTGCTGCTCCTAATTGATAAAAAAAATGAGCTCATTCAGCTTTACCTCAGTTGACTGTTTGAGAGGCACATAGAAGTAGAAACATTAGAAATGTGATGACACAGCAGTGAACCTGTAACAGAAGATCAGAGTCTGTAGGCTTCTCCTCCAGGTGGTTTGCTGATTATCAAAAGTGTAATGGGAGAGGATGAGATGAACTTGTGTGTTGTTTCAGATCAATAAGCTGGACAAGGCGGTGGCAGCGGCCAACACGTTCTTCCTGGCCAACCCGGACCACATGGAGATGAAACAGAACCTGGATTACTACAGGATGATGGCAGGAGTACAGGCAGAAGACTTCAAAGATTTGGAGGCCAGGCCCCATATGGTGAGAGCGAACTCTTTCTCTGAGGACTTTTATAGCATGTTGGCCTCTTGTCTGACATGTTGATTATAATAATCACATTGTTGTGTTTCTTTTTGTCCATTTTACTTCAGAAATCTCCTGACATACCTGCTGTGTTATTACTACTGTTACAGTGAATAACACATCAAACAGAACCTGAATTGAAAGGTGTACATACCTGCATACCTGACTAACCTAATACAAGTAAACCCAGACTAATTCTGACTATTACCTAGAATAGAACATGTTTATATCACATAGCTCCAGTAACAATACACATACTTTCTCCTCAGGCCGAGTTCCTGCTGGGGAAGAGTTACTACAGCGACGACTCGTTCGGTCTAGCGGCCGAACACTTTGAAGTGGCCATAGACGAGTACTTCACAGCCGATAAGGAGTGCAGAGCTCTGTGCGAGGGAGCCTACAACTACGACGGATACAACTACATGGAGTACAGTGCCGACCTGTTCCAGACCGTGACAGGTGAGACTGTACATCTTTGTTCTTAAGAACGTAGAGAATTTGGTGATTGATTTAATCTAAATGTGATTGTGTGTGTGTGTCAGACCACTACACGCAGGTCCTGAGCTGTAAGCAGCACTGCTCCGTGGAGCTGGCCTCTACAGCTGGTAGAGACAAGCCCTTCGAGGATTTCCTCCCCTCACAGTTCAACTACATGCAGTTCTCCTACTACAACAGTGAGTCTCACAGCACTCTCTTCTTCAGCGTGTGTTTTTGTCCATAATATGTAACTTTTCCAGATTAAAATGTCTAAAAATGACACTGATCATGTGTCAACTCACAATCCACTTTTATTCAGTTTTAAACCACATTTTTAAGATGCACCTTTTGCATTTTGTTAATTTTCAACCAGATATTTTAACCAGATGAAGGATTCTACATTCGGACATCTGGATCTTTTTTGCTTTAATTATCCCGGAGTCAACATGTGGCAAACTGAATAGAATATAGGACATAGTTTTGAAAAGCTCACACCTGTGTATGTAAGGTCCTGCAACTCACAGCGCATGTCAGGAAAAAAACCAAACCATGAGGTCTTCTGAAGTTTCTGTAGACCTCTGCAATAAAATTGTGGCGAGACATAGATCAGGGCAAGAGTATAAAACCATTTCTAAAGCTTTCAGTGTTCCCAGGAGCATATTGGCTTCAATAATATTGAAATGGAAGATGTTTTGGCCGACCAGTCAAATTGAGTAACCAGGCAAGAAGAGCCTTGGTCAGGGAGGTGACCAAGAACCCAATGGTCTCTCTAACAGAGCTTCAGAAGTCCTCTGAAGGAGAGACCTGCCGGAAGTACGACCATTTGAGCAGGGCTCCATCAATCAGGCCTTTATGGTAGAGCAGCTAGACGAAAGCCACTTTGAGTAAAAGACATAGGACAGCCTTGCTGGAGTTGGCCAAACAGCATTTAAAGGACTGTGAGAGCATGAGAGAAAAGATTCTCTGGTCTGATGAGACAAAAATTGAACTCAAACACCAGGCACTGCTCATCACCTGGCTAATACCCATTTCTCACAGGCTATGTCATCCACATATTGGGAGTCCTGATGCAGGACTATTAAGATGATAATCTTGAAATATTGATATGATATTTGTGACAGTTCAACTTAAACACTAGATCATTGCTCTAGAGAGGAGTCACCACTCTGTTGGGCTTGCTAGAAAAGCTAGGCAGGAACAAAAACCAGAAAATCCAAAGAGTGGGAACATCACATGCAAAACAGGAGCACTACAGAAAACCTAAAAACGGGAGCACGGGCGCAAGAGACACAGGGAAACATCACAAATCCAAACAGGGAGCACAGACACTAAATACACACAAGGGAAGCAGTAACTGAACACAGAGGAAACACATTAGGGTGGGGCAAACAATCATGAAGGAGGGAAACACCTAGACCCAGACCTAGACGGGAAGTAAAATATCCACGAGACACACAAGGGAAGTCATTTCAAAATAAAAACAGGAAATCAACCAAAAGTCCAAACATAAAGAGTCCAAAAGCAAGCACACAAACCCCAATCAAGCTCCATAAACACTCGATCTTACACTTCCCATAATCCATCTTGTCTCTGTGTTAGAGTCCCACTGTTTGGTAAACATCTACATCTTTCAAACCCCACACCCTCAGATTTGGTTTATACATTTGTTTCCTCCCAGAACAAGCAGAGATAACCCAGATGACATGATCAAGGTTATTTCTCAGGCCTCATAAAATTAATTGAAAATGACAGAAGACATGATACAGCTGTTTTTGTTCACCGGCCGAGTTGTTCTCTCCTGGTAAGTTAACTCATCTGGATGTGTAAAATCAGTGGAATGAACACCTGTTTAAAGAAAGCACAGTGCTCTTGAGTAAATACGATGATAATAATGCCAGTTAAAAACCCAGTGACAAACAAAACAAATTGTATATCAGTTCAATAACTCTTTCACACCTGCTGATCTCCTTCTTGCCTTTGCCCCCTCTCTGCAGGTGAGAAGTACGAGCAGGCCATAGAGTGCGCTAAGACCTTCCTGTTGTTCCGCCCTAATGATGAGGTGATGAACCAGAACCTGGCTTATTATTCTGCTGTGTTGGGCGAAGACAAGGCAGAAACCATATCAGCCAGACAGGTACAGTAGGTCTCACTTGCAACACACGGAGTAGAGGCTTTCATCCAAAAGCACCGTACAGTTATTTCTAGCAGAGTGTTATCTTAATCCATAACGATCGGCAGCAAATCAGCCTGCACAACATGAGCTTAAAGAAAAAATAGTCTCCATTATGTCTCAAACATACTCAAGGGCACAAAAGAGACATTAAAAAAGCACTGATGGTAATCTAAAGTACATAAACGTTTGCTGCTGCTTTTTAAAGAAGCAATTGGTAAGATTTTTAAGATTGCCCCAGGCGCTAAATGTCCATATTATACAGTATTTAGTGTGTATAGTACTGTGTTAATAGAACTGCCAATCAATACTAATGAATACTAATGAGCTTTCACAGCTGAACCCACTTTAAACCCATTCCCAGTTTTGGGATAAAAACATTTCAAGGGTGTAGGTGTGGGTGAGGCACAAAAAAGTTTCTTCAACCCAAAAAAAGACCCTGTTTATGCTGTTTCCTGTTTTTATATAGATGTATAGTTGCTGGTTATGGTGCTTTTGCAAAGTAATTGGAAATGCAGCATAAATTGCTTTATTATTAATTCATCAACCCTACTTAAAAACACATTTTGTTTAATTTGTAGAAACCTTTAGATTTAAAATTAATATCAAACCTCATTTTTGTTACTTTTCAAGGTTCTGAAGGCATCAACATTCTGTAATTCTGGCATAGACAATTTTCACAGAAGTTATTTTCACGTGACACTAAAAAAAGCACAGGTATAAATTAGGGCTGAACGACTAATCGAAACATTATCAAAATCGCAATATGGCCACGTGCAGTAACGGAATTGCAAGAGCTGCAATTTCTTTGATAAAAGTAAAATGTCTGACAGACCACAGATGAAGCATGGTGTTACAGTACGGTACGGTACGGTAGCTAATTCCATCAGGCTGCTTCAGGTGCAGGGCCTTGGTGCTGTGCCTGCCGGCTCACTGTCACACTGTCATGGCTTACTGGGACCCATGAATAGAACTGATCCATTGTTAATGTCATTAGTAAAACCTGTGCTTTTCTTCTTATGACAAGTCATGTCTGCTGTGAGAAAGTGCTATTTTAGGTCCCTGGTTTGTGTCTGGTTAGGTAACTCTTCATCTCTCTGTCCCCTTGTTTCCTGCCATCTCTCCATTGTCAGCTTTCCAATAAAGTCATAAAAAATCACCGTTAAAAAAAAAAAAAAAAAAAGGTCTATTGTTATTGGCAGAGACAGCAACTGTGGAAAAAATCCACGTAGCACTCAATGCTTCTTTTTAAAGACTATTCCTCTGAACACATGAGAACAATTGAATGCAATCAAAGTTCACTGGTACCTGTGTAAAACCTTTTTAGCAATAACCTCAGCACATATAATAAATATAAACTTAGTTATTTTGCCTTAATAACATATCTCATGTACATATAGTGGCTTTTTTGCAGACAGTAGTTTTCAACAGATGTAGTCAAGGTATAACTGATTTTTTTTTTTTTGACCCCCAGGTGGTGAAACAGTACATTCAGCAATCCATACTGGAGAAAGAGCTGCTTTACTTTGGATATGAAGCATTTGGAATCACCTTTGTAGATCCAGTGAGTGAATGAATCATGTATTCTCCATCACATTGTGCTCATTTAATGCTGTGCTGAAATATAAAGAGTGGTATCGGACATTTTACGTTACTGTCGTTTTGTATTCAGGACACATGGACTCCTGAAGATGTCATGCCTAAGAAACTGAGAGACAAGCAGAAGTAAGATTTTAAGACACTGCCACAAACGCACGTGCAGGGCAATTATGAATGGGCAGTTAAAGTGATGTTATGGCCTTTCTGTTTCCCCCTCAGAGCTGACAGAGAGACTGCAGCGAGGATCACAGAGGAAATAGGAAACCTAATGAAGGAGATCGAGACTCTGGTTGAGGAGAAGAAGAAGGATTCGTCAGATATGGCCAAGATAATAGTGCCGCAGGAAGGTAAACATGTCACCCAGAGGGCTAGTCAACCAAATGTTTGAAATGTTATTCAAATGTTTAAATCAAAATGATTTGCTATGTATGGTTGTGGCGGCACAGACCTGATCAGTGGACTGTAACTTGATCATCTGGATGGTGGTTTAATTTGAGACATAATCGATTGCTTATCTTTGGAATCCCGAATGTCTAAATTTTTAACTTGAATTTTGGGATCAGAAAAAAAAAAATCTGATACATTATTTCAATGAAACAAATATCAGTGCTAGAAATTCACAGGCTTTACAATTTCAAAATCTGGTGAGACGGATTTGCCTCCGTATAAATTGCCCCATGGGTGTGAATATGAGTGTTTGCCTCCATGTGTCAGCCGTGTGATAGTCTTGACAGCCTGTCCAGGGTGTTCCCCCGCCCTCGCCCAGTGTCAGCGGGGAGTAGCCCCCTGCGAACCCCATAAGGATAAGCGGTATGGATAATGGATGGATGCATGTATGGTTGACTCTTGACTGTGACCTACCTCCTCTAGGTGGTGCTGTGTTGTACGATGACATCAAAGTAACCATGACGTCCAAGCAGCTGAATGGCTCTGAGCGGGTGTTGCTGGATGGAGTGGTCAGTCATGACGAGTGCAGGGAGCTGCACCACCTATCCAATGTGAGTTATCAGTGTAGAGAAGTCGCTCACATGTTGTTGAGTTATCTTTACTGCCATTACTACAAAAGTAATATATACATATAGACAAATACTAAAGATACACAAAATACCACATGTAATTACAGAGAAGACAATTAGTTAATATCATGTACTTTAAAGTGCCAACACCTTGTTCACATCCTAACACAACACACCACAGTTCAAGAATACAGAATAAACCATCAACCCACAAAAGCGTTTCGTCCATTTTTAGAAATGCCTCAGCGCTTCGGTGTCAGGAAACATCACCAGTTATATGGCAACTAATCTTGCATCCCTCTTAAACTTGCACTAAAATGAGCTAAACCATGGGAAAACACCATTACTTTCTAAGCTTAAACTTTACATTTTGAAGTTATCACGACAGTTCTGAGAGTCACATGCCAAACAGTTGCAGACTATAAAAAGTTAGTTTTTAAATGTCACCAGTGTTACAGTTGTTTTTAGATGTTTTTGCATATTTGTGTAATTTTAAAACATATGCCTTTCTTTCCAAAAATATAGAAAGAAGCTCTATCATGTCACCGGATGCCTGGTTGTCTTCTATGTTTGTGTCGTCCGCTGTGTGTGTCAGAGTTGTTGACGTTGTGAATATTTTCCAGGCAGCTGCTCTGATAGGAGATGGCTACAGGGGGAGCACTTCCCCCCACTCCCCCAGTGAGCTGTTCCAGGGAGTCACCGTCCTGAAGGCTGTCAAGGTCTGTAGCTCTCCTGTGTCTAAAGCAACTGTTTGGTCAAACCTGTGATGTTCTTATTAGAAAACAGCCACAATGTCCACATGCCAGGGAGTTCAACCTTTCAGGAACACAGTCACATTTGAGTACTTTCACCCTCGTTGGTGTCCTCCTTGTACCTGCTGGTGAAACGGGAGCGTGTCTATGTTCCCACAGCCCTATATTCCCCTTTTATACCCTTTCAGAACGCTTTGCATACACGTTACACGGCGTCTTCACATTTATCCACCTCAGCGATCGTTTTTGTAAAGCATCGTTTTCAGTTTCGGAATTCACCGTTCTAATGTGGATGGAAGGGCTAACCGGATAAATATTACCCGGGTTAGTGTGGACATGGGCTTATGGGAACATATAAGACTGTGGGAAAATAGGGCCTAATTTTCAAAACATTCTTAGAAATGTGGGAACATAGGGCTGTGGGAACATAGGGCTGTGGGAACATAGGGCTGTGGGAACGTAAGGCTGTGGGAACATAGGACTGACCCCGGTGAAACATGTTTCCACCTCCCGCAGCTTGGACAGGAGGGGAAGGTCCCGCTGAAGAGCGCTCGTCTGTTCTTCGACCTGAGCGAGAGGGTGAGGAAGGTGTTGGAGTCGTACTTCAGCCTGGAAACTCCGCTCTACTTCTCCTATTCCCACCTGGTCTGTCGCTCTGCTATTGATGGTGAGTCAGACGGTTATGATATGCTGGTGTTGTGTGTTTGTGTGAAACAGATACACTGCTCTTTATTAAAAAAATCAATACTCCTGTGTCCTCAGTGATGGGAGGCTGCAGATTTATCTTTTCTGTTGGTTCATTCATAAAATGATCTGTCGCATCTGTTAGATCTATCATTACAACAACTTAAGTATTTTCAGGTCTTTCAAATTGTTTTCTTTTAAACAGTAAAAACAAAAACCTGAACATGAGAAATTTCCCAACTCTCTTCACCCACGCTCCACCCATCCAATAACCTCATGTGCCAGATGGTTTGTTACACAGAACCTTCAGGGAAGACTTTGTCGGAAACTGTTTGGAAAAGGGCAGCTGCTTTTAAAAAATACTTGGCAGGTGATTGGATGAACCATCTGACCATCTAGAGCGCTGAAGAAGAAACACGCCTTCCTGTAGTCTGAGGAGCTTTGAAAGCTAGGTAGCATGTCAGTAGATGATTGTTGTTGTCTTTGTAAGGAAAATTTGTGCATAAAAGTCATGTATAGGAATAACAAAGCTGTCTCTTCTTCGTAGCGGTCAGTAGTTCCGCCCTCATAGGAGGCTGATTGGTCTGAACCACTGTATTTCGACCACAAGTGAGTAGAGTTTCAGAGCCTGGAAAGATGGATTCTCAATTGTGAGAAGTCCAGCTGCCTCACAAGGTTACCCATCCAAACAAATAAATAAAAATAATAGTGGGAAAAGGGATCTATTTGTGTGTAGCTAAACACCCAGCCACCCATTTTCTTTCTAGTAATCTCACTACTCCTGAACAGGGATAGGTTTAGTGTGGCAAATGGATGTAAATACCACTCTGCCTATGAATCCCAATTGCTGTTGCTATTGAGAAGACTCCAGCTAGAAATCATTGACTGATGTGAGAGAGGTACAGCTTAAAACATGTGACCTACAGTATAGTACATGTTGACTCGAAGGACGTGATGGCAGGTTTATTGTTTATCTTGCTGTAAACCAGATTGTGTGATTTGCACTTTGTTGCCAAAACAGATCAAGATCTCAGTCAATGTGACATGCTGTCTTTTTTATTGTAAAGTAGATCTACATTACATTACATCACAATAAATGTATGTTTGTAGGTGCATGTGTGTTTTGACTGAAAGTAAAGGCTGACCAGCTTTGACGATGCAAAGAAGCCTAACAACTGCTTTATGTACCTGGTGTATCCACCTTGTCTTTGTGATGATTATTTGGTTGCAAAAAAGTAGTCAAAATCGTGGACCTGAATTTGATCTCTTCCAAAGTTAAAGCTGCATTAGTTGATTTTTACAGGCCAAGAGGGGGCAGCACAACACACAACAGTGATATGTTATCACCTTATAAACATGTGGTGGAGAATGTGTTGACAAACAATTGCCTGCAGACACTGAGAATTAGCCATTTAGTGTTAGTATATATCATTATATATACTAGCATAAATCATTGTTATATATCATATTATATATAGCATTAGCATATACTATAAGTAGTAATTTGGAGTTCTTTTAGCTCTAAAATATCAGGCATTTTAGCAGTTAAATCCTTTACTATGTTCACCAGCTAGTTGCTAACTGCTGCTAGAAACAAGGCTGATAAAAGCAGAGTTGGTGTCTCTAGAACAAAAACATTGCATGTTAAAAAGCTCTGTGATAATTGTCTGTAGCTATGTCCCAATGAGTGATCCCATTTCATGTTACACACAGTCATTTAGTCCATTGTCAGTGGAAAAAACAATCAGCTTTAAAGGAGCTATTTGTAAGTTTTGCTATTGCTACATAGCTAACGTTAGCATTAACAGCTGTTTACTTACCAGTCTAGGAGAAACGTTGTGAGTTCAGCATCAAACTCCATTCCTTTACTCACCAACAGCTGTCTCCAGTGGTGGAAAGCAACTCCAATGTTAACTTGTCTCTATCTGGTCTTTTCTTCTACTGAAGTAAGCATGCTAACTATCTATCTCTCAGCTAGCGTCTAGTCACTTTCTAATAGCGACTCACTGTAGCCTCCAGTTTGCCCTGAAGACGCAGCACTGCTCAGAAGTCATATTGTATCGTCTTGTCTTGTTAACGCAACCGCGGCCGAAGCTCTTCTCAAGCGACAATCACCACCACCTACTCCCAACACGAAACCACATTGGGCGGCAGAGAAAACTAGCCCCTTTAAGAAATCATCCAATTTGACTTTGCACTTTTACAGTGCTCCTGACAGGTGGTGGTGGTAGTTGTGTGATTATGGCCTAAAACGTTTCAGCTTCCCTCTGTATTGTTGTTATTTAGAGAAGCAGGAGGACCGTAAGGACCTGAGTCACCCTGTTCACGTGGACAACTGTCTGCTGGTGTCCGAGCTGAACGAGTGTATCAAGGAACCTCCTGCATACACACACAGAGACTACAGGTGAGCACATGCACACAAATACACTATGTCTAGTCTAAGCATCAACCACACAACTGTGATAATGAGCACCCACATAACATCCTAATGTCCCCCCTGCAGTGCCATTCTTTATTTAAATGATGACTTTGACGGAGGAGATTTCATTTTCACTGAGATGGATGCCAAAACAGTCACGGTAAATATTCAACTGTTATTTCCACAATCTGCATTCAACACCACGTTATAATACTTATTATGTGTGAATAAAGGCAGCTGTACATTTCAAGCTTGTTTTATGTTGCATGTTCTGTATTTTCTGACTTCTCCAGGCTGAGGTGCGTCCACAGTGTGGCCGTGTGGTTGGGTTCGGTGCAGGGAAAGAAAACCCCCACGGTGTCAGAGCTGTCACTAAGGGTCAGAGGTGTGCTGTAGCGCTGTGGTTCACACTGGATCCTGCTCACGAGGAAAAGGTACGGATGATCTCTGTAGATTAACATCAGTATTCTTTACCAGCAGCATCGATAAGTGTGTAAAGTCAGAAAATTGAACTCAATGTACTAATTGTTTTGCAGTAAACTCCAATTCAAATTTACATGCAATGTAATAATGTGCCACACTGCTTCCCCCCAGTATCTCGAAATATTGCTTCTACAATTGCTTCATTATTAATAGCTAAAGAGTTTACAGAAGACAGAAATTAAGAGGGTAGATTACCTAGTTAAACCTTTTTATATCTTAATGGAAAAATTATTTTCACAATAGCTGCCAATGAGGACATTAGAAGTGGATTTAGCGTTTCCCAGATTTATGAAAAATTGAACAAAATACAGAATATTGAATAAAAAAAGTAAATAAATTGTCAAAAAAAATAAATTGGTAAATAAACTGAGCTCAGGCCCAGCTCTGTGTCTGCTGATGGAATTTAACATGGCAATATTTTGACCTATCCCAAAAAACTAAATAATGACAACAAATATGGATTAGGCCAGATGATGCAGCAGCCTTATATGTATGAAACCAGATATCCAACAGTGTGCCATAATGAAACCAATCACGTCTTACACAGGTGGACTGCAGGAGAGAAAACAAAATTAATAGTATCTCAATTGCTCTGTCAAAAAAGTCCGACTACCCTCCCTTCAGCAAAGAGAAACATTATAATACCCCCCCACCCCCCAGTGTATAGACTTGTCAGCACTGTGGGGACAGCTTGTCTCTTGCTTTGTTGCATTTTCAAAATGTAACAGCGGTCGTATGGATTAGGGTTAAACCAGCATTTTATCAGACCCATACAGCACATGTGTATGTAATTGTAAGTATGTAAGTGTAACATGAAGTAAACTAACACAATCCTTGTCGTCACACGGTGCCTTTAATCTAAAATCTAACTTAATACACACAATGGATCATTGCTGCTGCAAAGAAATATAATGGTTTGTAATTGTAAAAGAAACATAGCTGCAGTTAATGATGTTTTATTTTTTGACTGGCAACAGGAATTCGAAAGAAATGAGCAACTGTTTTTCCTGCAGGAGAAGTTTTCTGGAAATACACACCTACAGTAGATAAAATGAAAAAAATTTAAATTACACAACCCTAACCCTAACCCCCCCCCACCCCCCCCTAGTGTTACTAATCGAGCATGAATAGACCTTTTGTGTTTGCCTCTGGTTCTGGTATTTTGATTCCTAATTGGATTATTATGCATTCTGTTTCTCCTCACATGTTTCCATTGGTTCTGTAGGAGAGAATCCAAGCTGCGGATATGCTGAAGATGTTTTCCACACCTGTGAATGCAGAGTTCAGTAAGAAGGAGGCGACAGACACCTCAGAGCCCCAACCAGTAACGCCAGAGCCTCCATCAGATAAAAAACAAGACGATAAACCGGCGGAGCAGAAGCCGGATGCACCAACCGACACGCAGGCCGACAAACCGGCTGACACGCCGAAGGACAAAACAGAGAAGAAACCAGTCAGCAAAACAACAACTAAAGGCACTAAAGCCAAAGCTGCTCCGAAAGCAAAGGCCAAAGCTGGAGACCAGGCAAAGGACAAGACAGCAGACAAAGGCAAACCTGCTGCAAAAAAACAGACGGTTAAAACACAAGCCAAGCAGGTAGACAAAAAGGACACAAAACCAGCTGCAAAAAAGACAGTAAAAGTCGTTGCCAAGAAGGACTCCAAAAAAGCTAAAGCTGACGGCACGTCAGCCTCAGACTCTCAGAACGAGGACAAGGACGAGCTGTGATCAAACAGCACCTGGGACTGTGTATGTGCTGTCTGTTTTTCTGTTTGCTCCAAGGTCTTCTCTGTGGGTGGTTGAATGGAAATGGATTGAAAGTTACTAAAATGTTGTTTGCCTTTAAAGTTATTGGTTGTTGTGGATCATACCAAGGGACTGCTGTTTTACCCGGATTTCACTCACAGTTTTAATTGAGTACTTTTTTTTTATAGGTATATCCTTGCTGACAATCTGCAAAAGTGCCCAAATAACCACCTTCGTTTGACATTCAAAGCTTTGTATTTGTATAGATGGGACATATTTTCATCTCAGTTTTCAACCTGAATTCCTTTTATTTTCTCTTATTTGTGATGCCATGATGTGAAAGCGCGGGTGGTCAAAAGAGGGGGGCAGAAGTCAACTGTGTGAATCAATGAAATAAAAGTAATGTTTTTAAATTCTGCAGTTTTCATACAGAAGCAAAATATCATGCAGCGCTCCAAGCTGACACTGGGTGGCAGCATGGAAGCACCAGTCATTTGTCACAAACCCACTGCTCATTTAACAAACCATAACAAATTCACTTTTGATTGAAATCCTCAGGTAGTGAACTCTGGTATTTGGGAAGTCCTGCTGCTGTCCCGCTGTGATTAGTTTTAAACCGGAAATATTCAAACCTCAAGTGCTCATTGTTTGTCACATCACTTGAACTTTGTTGAATCTCAGCAGCTGTCTTTTTTATTAATCTTAGTGCCTGCAAGGAAAACTGGTCGTGTGCGTGCAGACTTTATTTACTTTTCAGTTTGCTACAGATTTGGTCCATTTTGTAATTTTGTGTGTGAACATACATATGAGAGAGCGAGAGAGAGAGAGAGACATTTACTCAAGCACTGTACTTTTAAGTCTTTGTATTTTACTTCAGTGTTCCCATTTCACTTCACCTCATTCTTAACAATTCTTACTTCTTCAACATTATCATTTGACAGCTGCAGACTACATCATAGAAAGAATAGAAATTTCTATTGTCACCCAACAATATAACATTGTGTCGTCCACTGGGTCATAGAATATAATTATTTTCTAATTTATTTAATACTATTTAATTCTAAATTCTAATCAACATTTAATTTTTAAATAAGCTGTTGATTTCTCCCCAGTGATTATATGATCAGAGCTGACATTTAATATGCTTGGATGTATTCAGGTCCACTCACACATTAAGACACTGATCCCGGTCCGGTCAGATCTTGGTTTCTCAGGACTGAGTAGCCCTGTCGAGGACTAGTACAACAGCGGACCAGACAGTGCTATTCTGGGTCTGAACTATGCAGGAAGACACCACACAGGCAGCAGATGTCCACAAGTTGACCTCTGACAGGATACGCTGTTCAGCCTATAAGAATGACACCTAAGTTTTCTTCTCTGACGGCGACGTCTCTTGTACAGCACCACACATCATGATATGGAAATATTCCAAAACTGACAACCAGTCAAAACACCTTTTATTCCACACTTGTGTTGACATATAGCACTTATTTCATATTAGGACTATCTATACAGCAAAGATACTACATCCAAACATGACTGTAAACCTAAGCAGCAAGTGAATAAGCCACAATACAGGTGGAAGATCCGTTGCAAGGCCTGTGGTGAAAGTTGTTAGTGGTGACAACTTTTATCATGTGGGCTGGAGGTGTACATGGCTGCAGGAACAGTCTACATCGCACCTCTGCTGCTGCAGGCCTGCATGGAGGAAAGCTACGTGACCTTGGTGCTCGGTTAGTGAATGAACCATACACACTGGGTGACCATGGGTGAAAAGGTATGATGTTAACACTCATTATAGCATCAAGCAAACATTTTCCCTCTAAACTCCTTAGATAGTTGCATTGAAATAACTACTTGAAGGTCTCCAGTATTAAAATAAAAATAGGTATAATGGTGCTCCATCCCACCAGTGCAGTTCCAGAGACTTGGAAGAATCAACACCAAAGCAGATTGTACAGCATGTGGAGGGCCAATACCTTACTAAGACAGTTTGTGTTGTCTATGCCAGTTTGTAGCATCCACATAACACCGAGGTAGTTGATGGGGAAGGTCTGCTTTGATATACTGCATTGTAATTTTCTTCTGTTGCCAATGACCATTGTTGTACAATTCCAAACATTGGGCTCGTCCAGGATTTGAACGCGGGACCTCTCACACCCTAAGCAAGAATCATACCTCTAGACCAATGGACTACACATATTGCATAATGTATGTCCAGAAACATATATGTGATATATAGTGATTATTTTCATTGCCATTACCACACGTTATACATTCAAGGGTGGCACTGCAACACAGTGATAGAGTTGGTACTTGTACTTTTCTTAAGAAAATCTATTTTAGAGAAGAAAATCAAAAACAGGTTCAAGTATGGTGCTCCATGCGTCAAGTACAGTTCCAGAGACTTGTAGAATCAACACCAAAGCAGATTGTACGGCATGTAGGGGGCCAATACCAGTTTGTGTTGTCTATGCCAGTTTGTAGCATCAAAAAAACACACCCAGGTACTGCTGCTTTGATACACTGTATTTACAGACGTTCCTTCTTATGTTTATGAGTTGCTAATGTCATACTGTTCAAGATAATGGGCTCGTCCGGGATTTGAACCCGGGACCTCTCGCACCCAAAGCGAGAATCATACCCCTAGACCAACGAGCCACTTATGTTTGAACTTTATCTCAAGTAAAAATCTCAAATTCTGAGTACACTTACTGCCGCAAAGTTTCTGTTCAAAGTGATCATAAAGAGAAAGCCATTACTGAGTGCACTCAAAAGGCTTCAGAGAATGATGGCGAGCATTCAGTAGTATGATCTGGACAGAGTGTATGTAGCTGGTTAGAAGAAAACAGAAGTTAATGGATGCAGGGCTTAAAGTAAAAAAAGAATCCTGAGCCTGAAATGTTTTGTTCTTGTTTTTTTGCAGAATGTACAGATTCACTTCTCTTTAACAGCATGCGCTTTTCACCATTTATTTAAAAAATACTATATGTCAACAGTAACAGTGCAACAGCTCTAAAGTGCGAGCAACTTTGAAAAACTTCTGGATGAATGTAATTTTGAAAAAAAGATTTGCTCATATACAGTATGTGCTTTGCACCATTTTTCCTCTATTCTCCATAAAAGTATGTGCAATGTAAAAGACAACTGTAAACAGTACTGCAATACTATAGCAACATGTAAGTGTTTCCTTCTGAAAAACAGATAATGGGAAATAAATAAATAATGAAGATTAAAAAAATACAGTAACATTGGAGTGCTTAAAGAACTGGTAAACTGAAGTTTAAAGTGAAATGAAGAAGGCCACTATCACTTGTTTCTTCATTCTTTTTGGGTTGTAAACAAGGAAGTTGTGAAGGACAGATCATGTTCAGCAATGAACGTGTATTTTTTGATCACAGACACAGTCAGTCATTGATGAGTTACTGTGTCAACTGTAACTGTCGCTCCCAGTAACATAGTTATATGTTGGAGTGCGTGGACAGCAGCTTTATGACCGGGGTCCAATTCATGACGAGAGAGCACTTTTTTACCGCTGGTGGCAGATGGCAGCTTCCTCGAGCACACCGTGCAGAAACAAGCACCCGGCTCCTTCAAGCTGCTGGATCCTACACTGCCAGAGTTGCCAAGACCCGCCCCGCTCTGCTTCTGATTGGCTAGTAAAGTTGGTTAGGTTCAGTGTCTGGTTAGGTTGAAGAGAGCTGTGTTCCTCTCACACCATTGGTAGGTGAACTTTATTACCTCGAACATGATAAACTGCATCCACAACAAAATTCCCAAGTGTATTGATTTCATTTTTCATCTATTCTCTCACAGCGTTGTGCCGGAATCTTTAAGCCCTGTGGATGTAACTCCAGTTTTATGAGTATGTGTTTAACCAAAAGTGTAGCTCTTAGCACGTATGAAATAGAAAAAACTTTAGATCCTAGTGTGTTCGGATAGGAAATGACCAAAGAACCCACTCAATATATTTATATTCTCATCTGATATAGAGTTGCATTTGAGGGGTTTGTCAAAGGCTATCAAAGTATTTTTACAACTAACGGGCTCGTCCGGGATTTGAACCCGGGACCTCTCGCACCCAAAGCGAGAATCATACCCCTAGACCAACGAGCCACTGGTAATGCACATCTAAAGAAAAATATCGAATTCTGAGCTGAGCTTTAAAATACAACATGAACCTTTTACACAGAGTGTGGTTGTGGTTACTTATTATCTTTCAGATGTCTGTGAACTATTAGCATTTTCACTAAAGACACATTTCTGCTCCATCTCCGATTATTTCATCTAAATATTTGAAGAACTATGTGAGGCCTGAAAATGGAAAACAATGAGACTTTAACAGTTAGAGGAGAGTCACAAATCTCTGTACAAGTCAGTGAAACACACAGGAGATAAGGAAGACTTTACCTAACAGCTTATAAAGTAAATAGAGCAGGCAATATTTTTTTAAGTGATGGGCTAATTTAATTATCATTTTTTAACTGTTATTAGTATGCACAATGAGCTAATGTACAAATGAATTTACCCTAGTGGATTAATAGAGTGTCTGTCTATCTGTCTGTCTATCTATCTATCTATCTATCTATCTATCAATCAAGTATCTCACAAGTGGATGATACGCTGTTTGGGAGCCTAAAGTCAAGACCACTGGGCAAACCTGAAAACTCCATGGCCAAGTCTCAAGAAGGAGAGACTGTTCAAATTGTCACCAATGTGACACCAATATGAATGAAAGAAAATGCCAAATTGAGAGACAGCAGATTCGAGAGAACCAGGAGAGAAAGAACCTGGAAGACCTCAACGCCTGTCCGGCCCAAGGAGCAGCGGGGGGAAGAGGTGAGAGCCAGACTGAGGGGCCCAGCAAGAAAAAGCTAAAGACCACCAGGCTCGTTGTTGTGCTCGTTGGAGACACGCACAAGAGTAAGCAGTGCTAAGGTCAACAGTCAGACAGAAGGAGGAGGAGGAGAAGCTACGTCAGAAGGTGCTGCGTGGGGCGTCGAGCAGCTCAGTTGGATGAGCATCCGCTCCATGTGTAGAGGCTACAGTCGTGGCTGCGTCGCTGGTTCGAGTCCCCCTCTCTCTGCCTCCCCATTTCCTGTCTCTCTCTACTGCGACTATCAATAAAGGCACAAAAAGCCCGAAAAAATAAATTAAGCGTAAGACCATCCACCAATAGCTGTGGGAACGAGACCTCTCAGCCATGTCCAAACACATAGAGAGTGTCGACACAGCCGACCAGCTGATCATAGAAAATCAGCACAGCTCAACGCGCCTCAATGAGATGAAGGAGGAGATGCTGATGGAGCTGAGGGCCATGGGAATCCCTGAGAAATACTGCAGGAAAGTGGTAGTGTTTCCAAGGACCTACACACA